AAAGCCTTTTATCTGAAAGATGGGATAAATGCCCCTTTCTTCACTTAACATGGAAAAATATATTCATAATCTGATTTTAAAAATGTTTTACAAAACAGTTAAACATTTTTCCTGAATTTCTTTTTTTGAAGAAGTACAAACATGTTGCATTTTCTCATCTGCTGGTTAACGCAAATGGACATTTAATGAAAGCTAAAGATTTTTACCAGATTTCAAAAAAGCAGTCATACTCCACTATTATTTATGCCAAAAATGAATAAATAATAACAAATTAGGCTTCAGAATATAAAATACTTGAATCTACCCAATTGTATACAATATACTTTAGCTTGTTTTTTTTTTTAACAAATACCTTTCCTGTGTTTGAATAGCCATGTGTTTCTTTGAACTAGTAATTAATAACTCTGTGACTACTCTTGTTTGCTTGACATTTCAGTGCCGTAACCATCACATAGCCTGGGAAGAACCTGATTTAAGGAATTATGGTCATAGTATTTGGAATACTCAATCTCAGGAAGGCTCCACCCAGATCACCTTGGATAAAAAGTCAAACAGACAAACGACTGTGGCTCAAAATGTCTTACTTGTCCACCTAAACCATAGTTAATTAAAGACAAAGACAATATGATATATTTATCTCTGAAAATATTTTCTTAAAAATGCATATTTGTTGGGAAAGGATTAATTGATAGTTCAAGCTTTATCCTACAAGTTTAGCAGAGAAAAAAATTCCCTTTCCTTAGCAAAGACAGCATATCAGGATCCCCAAATTGCACACAGACCCTTTTAAGAGTTTTCTTATTTTAAAATTTATATTCAGCCTATTTCTCCATAAAACATGAAAAGAAGCAAAATGAAATTTTTAAAAACAAGTAAATTGTTTCATTATTATCTTAATAGAGTATTTAGGTAGCTAAAGGGAAGATTATACAAATAATAATATTATTATTAATAATAATGTTACTTTATATAATGTTTACTATTTATCATCCATTATAAGAATTTTACATATAGTAATTAATTTAGTTGTCAAGCAATGACATTTACATGCATTTGAAAGCTCAAGAAACTGAAGAATAGAATGGTTAAGTAACTTGCTTAATGTTGTCTAGATAGTAAGTGGCAGAGTCTAGTAAGTCTGATGCCAGAACTTCTGATTTTAACCACTACTTAATTCTCTGCTTACCAAGGATTTATTCTTTTACAGGCAAAACAAACTACTGGTAAAAAGATCCTTCCATGTTCTGCCTCTTAAAATTTTTAAAATAATTAATCTCATCCAACTCTTGGCATTTATTCAAAATTGGCTCTGCATATGGTAGTTCTAGTTAAAAGTTAATTATTGTTTAAATGCAAAAAAAAAAAAAATTTTCATTGTGATTTGGGTGAGAGTTGACAGAGCAAATTCACTTTCTATACAACAGCTTACATACACTTTGTCTCATGACATTGATTGCAATTAAAAATATTCTTAATGATAAATTTCATACAGAAAAATTACCAATTAGCATACATAAAGAGCCAAATATATAGAAAATATTTTAAATAATCCTGTTAAAATAATAAAAACTAGCATGTATTGAGAATAGACTATTTTCCAGGCAATATGCTAAGTGTTAACTATAAGGCTGGCTGTTCAAACCCACAAGCCACTCTTTAGAAAGAAGATTGGGGAATCTACTTCCATAGAGATATAGCTTTTGAAACCCAAGGAGGGGTCAATATGAGTCAGATCCTCGATGGCAGTTAGTTTGGTTTGGTTTTGGTTATACCTGCAGTGGTTACTTTAGCCCTGTCATTACCCTGCTGGGTAGATGCTATTGTTATCTTTACATGTGGAGAACTTAAGGATCAAAGTGGCTGAGTTGCTCACCCAAGTAATTGAAATAAATTTTCAATTTGGACAATATTACAGTGTTTCCATGTGAAAAAGTAAAATGTCTCAAGTTATATGTCAGAAGGAAAAGCTTTAAAAATACGAAGTTTATTAGAGAACGAAGATATTTCATGGGGGAACAGATTTCAAATGTAATGTTATTTTTTGAAAACTTGCTAAAAACCGAAACCTAACCCATTACTATCAAGTCAGTTCTAACTCATAGTGACCCTATAAAACCAAATAACCTCACTGCCATCCAGTCAATTTTTACTCATAGTGATTCCCTCTGAGTTTCTAAACCCATCGGGTTTCTAAGTTGTAATTCTTTATGAAAGCAGTCTGCTTCATCTTTCTTCTGCAGAGCAGCTGGTGGATCCAAACCACTGACCTTTTGGTTAGCAGAAAATATCTTAACCACTGCACCACCAGAACAGAGTAAAACAGCTCTATAGGTTTCTGAAGTTGTAAACCCTTATGGAAGTAGATGACCACACCTTTCTTCCATGGAGTGGCTGGTGAATTTGAACTGCCAATCTTTTGGTTAGCACCTGAGTGCTTAAACACTGTGCCAACAGAGTTCTGAAAACTAACTAACAAGATAAAATCAGCCTCAGACTATGAGCAATAGAAAAGAGTAGATAGTTAATCTCTTTTGATTATGCTAAAACAGCAATGTGCTAAGTTAAAATTAATGTCAACAAAGTAGAGACAAAATTAAACTTTTTTTCTAAGCATAGGCACAATTAACCTGTGAAAATTACTCATATTGGGTGGTAATGAAGCAGATACCTCAGTGAAATTGAGAACATATCTGATTCAGTATAATGGGATTTTCAGTTAGATAAAATAACAATTTATGTTAGTCATCCTGATTCAGGGCACATGCTGATTAGGAGAATGGGTCATAAAAGAATTATTTTTTAAACTTTTTTTCTAGAGGCAGAGGCCATGGCTAAAAAAAAATATGATAATAGGAAAATATTTATTATGTCTTGTCCATGAGGAAATATCAATTTTATTTCACAGTAATGTGTGAAAACACAAATCTCCTCTAAGGCAGTAGTACCTGTGGCTTTATCCAGTCAGTCCCAGTTCTTTGCCTCCTACAAAGAAGGAGGAAAGGCACAGAGAATATCCTAGGCTTGAAAGAAGAGATGTTAACAGTTTTTCATGCACTAGAAGAATGGAACTGTCCTTTTGATGCCATGGGCAGTTTGGAGGATAGCTTAGAAAATGGTAAAATGTGAGGACAGGGTGCTTTAGAGATTCACTGTAGGAAGGGTACAGTTTTTAAGGTCTCTGTATTGGGAATCATGATTTATGTTTTCCTGTCAATTATACCATTCCTGGTGTGATAATAGTCTATAAGAAGATGTCTTCACTTTGAAGTGTGAGTTTCTCTTTTGTAAAATAAATGGTTTGAATTAAGTGAACTCCTAAGAGCCTTTTTTTTTTTTTTTTGTAATTTACTTTTATTTATCACTGCCTGTATCCTACTGAAGCCTGTAATATGGTTCTTTTTAAATAAGGCTAAAATATACAGAAGTGATTCAGTGATTCTTTGAGAATCACTGTTCATGCCCTTCCTTGATGAAAGCCTGGTTGGGCTTTCAAATGTGGGCTTCTATCAAATCTGTTCTTTTTTTTTTTTTTTTTTGCAAGAGGACATTCATATTATTTTTATTACTCATATTATAAGTTTGAACATGTTATCATTTTACTTGTAGATTTTGCTTCTGAACAAAATCTTACTTTTTTTTTTTTTGTACTGAGAACTTATCTTTCATCCTCTTTCCTTTCATCTCATCTATTTTCCTATTTTCTACAGATCACTGTCTCAATTAACACATGTTGAGGTTCATTTAATATAGCTATCAATACTGATTGACTCTTCAAAACTTGTGTAGAATGGAGAAATCTGTGTGAAGAAAGAAAACTTTTTGTTCACATAAACTCAGTTTCAAAATAGAATTGAAAGGAATGGAATAGGAATATTTATAAAATAGTGATATTTATAAAAATATAGAGTTCATGGATCTGAATTAATACCTTTTTAAATAATATAAATTTTTTAAGTAGATTATAAATAGTGAATGAGAACATTAGTTTATTTATTTATTTATTTTTGTTGTTGTTGTTTTTACAGATCTGGATAATGTGGAAGGAATTGCTGTGGATTGGATTGGAAATAACCTTTACTGGACAAATGATGGCCATCAGAAAACCATTAATGTGGCCAGGCTGGAAAAAGCCTCTCAGAGTCGCAAGACTCTTTTAGAAGGAGAAATGTCGCATCCCAGAGGAATTGTAGTAGATCCAGTCAATGGGTATGCAATACTTGATCAGCTGTACATAAAATAAAAACTTACGTTTAACCTGTTTTCACATATTTTATAATGCTAAATTTTGTTTAAATTTATTTGAATAGTCAGATTGTGAAAAGTTACTCATTTAATGATTTCTTTTCCAGGGAAAGTTCTAAATATACATGTCAAAATACACTTAACTGAAATAAACAGATAACTTGTATAAAAGCTTTATTTACTTAATTATTCAGACAAGTATCATAATTTTTCACTTTAGACAGTCGAGATAAAAAAGTCAATTAAATCAGGGTATCAATTTAATTTTTTAAAGTCTATTGAAATGTGATCTATTAAAAAAAATAGCTGTTTTTTGTATGTTTTACAGTCTGTCAGAATTTTTGTTAGATTATTCTGTCAATAATTCTCACAGTAATCCTTTGAATTAGCTGCTATTTTTATCTCTGCTCTATAAAGAATAAACTAGTACTTGATCTACTGAAGATGATACAGTTAGTAAGATACTGGATAGACATTTAAACACAGGTAGACTATTTCCAGAGGTTTACTCTTGGCCTTTATATTCTACTGCTTTTTGCAAGTCTGGGATGGTAATTCCATAATTCTAGAAAAAAGTATGGCTTACATATCATGGCATAATTTTATAGTGTATGCTACTTGTTTTACAATGGAATATTTTATGCAATTCTTAGTAATATATTTCCCAATGACCTTTATTTAGTGCTATTATCTGATACCAAAAGTGTACATATAGAAATATAAAAGAAATGTGAAAATTCCTACCCAAATTTTAGAATAAAATGAATAATTACATATACTTAAAGTACAGGTTTTATGTTTTTTTCTCCTTCTTTATGACTTGTATTTCATTGTTTCAATATAGCATTGCCAAATGGATGATTTACATGTACCTTGCTACACTTATAGAAAAAGATTTAACAATAATATTACAAACTGATTATATTTACAAAATATATCTTTAAATGTTTATAAAATAAAGTATCTGTAAACTGAAATCATCACATCACAGTTCTAGAATTATTTTTGCTTGAGAGTAGCTCCAAATACAATCAGGGTGCTTCATCTAGGCCTTGTGTATGTTAGTAAAATACAATTATAAAGTAATTTTGGTGTGTTAATTATGTATTTAAATGTTCTATTTCTGGACCGTTAAAAAAAGCTACCTTTGGCCTTTAAACTAAGGCAATCTTTGTTATTAGAGAACATCTTTACTCCACACTATCCAAATTTACTTGAGGCTAAATATTAAAGCATGTCCTAAAATAGTTATCTTTTTTCTTAGAATTCCTTTAGACATAAATGTCTTCCAACAGAGTTAAAATGTCTTTGAGGCATTGGGGCGATTATAGAGGTGTGGAGGTCATAGAATCATATGATTTAGAAAGAACCATAGAGGTCGTTAATCCCATCTGTCTCATCAAACTGAGGAATCTCCTTTACTACCTGCCTAATAGGTAGGCATCCAGCTTCTATTTGAAACATGACAGCTAAATAGGTCATTCTATTTGGAGGCAATTCTGATTGATAGGAACATTTTTATTTTCATTGAGCTGATATCTGTATTCCAGAAATATCTATCTACTGACTGATACTGTATTTACTTTTGGAACTACAATAAACAGCTCTAATGACTCTTACACCAGGCATATCTTCAAATACAACATTTATATTATACACTGACATGAAAAAACTGCATGCATGTATATTGTATGTGTATACCCACACAAGCACACATAATAACTATTATTGTATACCCAGAGCTTTGCACTAAGTATTCAATGGTAAATAAAACAGATAAAGTATTCAAATGCGTAAAACATATCATGTGAAAGATGGGAGAAGAAGAGGTTGTAATAAAAAAAAAGGATTAAAAGATAACATAATATAATTTCAGCAGAACATAGTGATGGAGGAAAGCAAACAGGTTGGCATGATGAGACTAATTGTGTTGTTGTTGTGTGCCGTCGAGTCGGACCCGACTCATAGTGACCCCTCCTTGGGTTGCCGAGGCAGTATCACTACGGAAGTAGATTGCCCAACCTTCCTTCCGAGGAGTGGC